TATATATATATATATATATATTATCAATTAACACTTTACATTGATAGAATATGAAAAAAAAAATCTAAACTTTAGAAAGAAAATATTCCAGTCTTGTAGTAGCATGACATATAAGGGTGAGATATTAATAACATGTTGATGAAAAGTATGAAATCAAGTTTTTAGGAAAGTTATAACTATTAACTTTTTAATAACACATTAAATTACATTTAAGGATAGGAAACACGTTTTAACTCTTGATGTTATTGGAAGAGATGAAAATATTATGAGATTAGGTTCTGACCTTGAAGTACATAACCTACTTTGGATATATCAGAATAATGAGAGAAAGAGCAAAGCCTTGAGGCTGAAGCACTAACCGACCAGCACCTAACATTGGTTTTGGCCAACAGTGGCACGTTAGAACTCCACCAACTGTAGTAACCTCCACATTACCCTCAAACAATGTTTCTGCTGTTTTTGGTGTTAAGTCCAACTCCATTTATTTGATTCCCCTTTCGTCATGAAACTCATGTTAGTGAAAATAAGATATGCTAAATTAAATAACCAAAATCATATGCCAGATATTATTAATTAAACGAAAATTTCCCGTGTACTTGATGTTTTTAAGCTCACATAGAGGAACAAATTACACAAGTCATTAATTAAGGTAAGAATATCCTTTGTCAAGTCATTAACTGAGCTAGTTTGTTTGCATTTGCATGTAAAATTAATTAGAAATTTCATATATAGTTCATCCTAAAATATCAGAAAAAAGTTGCAGCGTGTGATCAGGGTAGAACTGACCCTTAAAGGCAAGTGATAGAGTGTGTAAAGACATGAAGAAAAAAAATATATAGAAAAAGAAAAAAAAGAGTCAGGTAGAGCTGTGATCTGGAAGAAAGAAATACAAACAAGGGATTTGGATTTGTCAAAGACTTAAAAGTCCAATCTGTCTTAATGAAGGAGAATTGAAAACCCTCTGTCACTTTAAGTTTATTATGATTACACGCCAAAACAGATCCTTAATTCACTTTTCTTGCAACAGTTTTAATGGAGAATGTAAAGAAAAAAGTTGTTTCAAGTAAATTACATTTACTTTTTAATGGATATGTGTGTGTGTTTGAATTTTGATTGGTTTATGTTGGAAAAACAGTTGTTTTATTTTGCAGCTTTCTGAAAAAGACGTTAAAATTTCTAAAATTAAACAAAAACAAAGGCGCGTGAAAGAAAACATAAAAAACTAAGATGTGATTGTTTACACTAACACTTACTGTCTAACTCCGAGTGGGACAGATTTTAGTGGCCCCACATTGTAAATAATCATAACGAGTATTTGGCCTCAACTAAGATGGATACCATCCAAGGCCAAGACTTTCTAAAATAGGTCTTTTAAACTTTTGATTCTTTTGAATATTAAGGCGAAAGATCTTAATTTGGTAAAAGTTGTATAGACACATCATGTTATATCCATGTTATTTAATATATTGCACAATCTTCTTCTTCTTTTTTTCAAGAGTATCAAATAATATATTACATAATTCATATTTTTTTAATACACTTTTTAAAGGATTTGCAATAAATGAAGATTGTACTTTAGAGAATAATAAACTATTATAATAGTTATTAATTAAAAATTGTGATAAAATTTATGTATAATAAAATTTAAAATTAATTATAATATTTATCATTAATTAACTATTATTATTATACTTTATTCTTCTCACTAAATCTCTTTTTAATTATTCATTGAATCTTAAATAAGATGTAATCTTAACTTTATTATTATTTTTAAACTATTCATTCATTATTATTTTTTTATTAATACAATATGCTTTTATATAGCCTAATAATTTATTTTTAAAAAAATAAACCTATATAATTTGATAATTCAACCTAATCTAACTTGAATTTTATCAGATTTGATTTATTGAGAAAAAATATTAAAATTGATATAACTCGATTTAATCTGAATTAATCAAGTTCGATAATAAAAAAAGATTCTAAAGTAGATTCATGTTAATCAAATCATAAACATACATGTATCTTAGGAAGTGTAACTTTACCTCCAAACTTTTAGAATAATATATAATGTGTGTCTTATGTTATGTTTTTTTACCCCTAAATTTATAATATGAACTCAATGTTTTAAATTTCTCAATTATTGTTAATTTTTATCTTTTATTAGTTTTTTATATATTATATTTTGGTTCCTTCTCATCTCATTTTTCATTTCTAACGAGTGTTTTCTCTTTTTTCATGTAGTGTTATTTTATTTTCACATATATATATAATAATAATAATAATAATAATAATAATAATAATAATAATAGTCATTTAAATAAATTATCTCCACTGATTTAAAGTTTTAGGTCTGATATTGAATCAAACTATATTTTCTTTTATGAAAACTTGAGTGAGTAATCAAGATTGGATAAGATTGATAATTGATTAGGTTTAGAATTATATAGACAAATCCCTTCTAACAACTCTAATATGTGTTTATGTCTATTGAACGTGATTAGTTCAACCATGTGAAGAAGAAAAAATGATAAAATTCTAGTTGAGTCTCTAAACCAAATATAATTATGTTTAGAGTTTCAATTTTATTTATTTTTTACATTTATCATTTATATTATCCTATCATTTTTCTTTTATGGTAAAAATAATAAGAGAAAAGTGTAAATATTAAAGATTGAATCTTTGACTATGTTTATTTGTCAACTATGTTATACTATGTTGGTAATAAAGTATAAATTATATATTGTTTTTACCATTAAAAATAGTTTGTATATAAAAATAGTGTGAAAATTTATGATGTCAAAAAAGAATTGAAGGGACAAATACATTAAAGAAAACAAGTGTTTTCGCACTCCATCCTTCTCGAGAGTCAATTAATATCAAACACATACATACATGTTTTTGGATAAATCTTCACACTCGACCATATCATAAAGATTTGATGATATATATTTATTGAAGTAGCATATTTCATCTAGTAAAATATCTTTGAAATAGCATGCATATCATATAACCAACTAATTAGTTGGGGGAATGAGATTTGTGGTTTCCTTGATCTTCGAAATAAAAAGGTTTTGAAATTCAGAATCCACATTAAGAGCTACTTGTTGAACTGTAGGTGATAAGACACCCCAAACTGATGCCTTGCCAGCCAACTCTTCAAGTAAAGGTCTGCAAAAAAAAAAAATGCAAATAATTTTATAATTTTAACTATAATGCACTAGTATCATAATTTGTATAGTAAATTACATGCAAATAATTATTTATGATATATCACTGTCTACCTATTCCTTTCTTCTTTCATTCTTAATCCATTCAATGGTTGAACAAACCATTTTCTACTTTTTAGAATCTCATGAATTTATGTTAATTCTGATTAAAGAAAACCCAAATAACTTACTTAGTAGTTGTCAAGATGGAGTAACTGTCCATCCCTTCTTCCCCTGCAATTTCAGCAACCACAAAGAATTGTGGCACCACTAGCAAATAACCAGCCTTAACATGAGTGTCCAATACACGCTTTCCAGTGAAGTCCACAATTTCCATCTTGCCACTTCCTCTAGCAATGTAAATCAATTGAACAGTAGGATTGACAGGGTACGAGGGTGCTTTAATAGCATTAGGTTCAAGTTTCACTCGAATCACACTTAATCCAACATCTCCAATAAAAGGAAAATCTTTTTGGGTTAAGGTTGTGACTAATCCGCCATCTTTGATCCCATTGTTTGAGAATGCATCATCTATGTTATAGACTAACTTTTTGGTCATGTCTATTTCGGGCTTAGGCATGTGTTGCCCCTTTTCTAGCTTGATAATCAAAACCCCACTTTGGCTTTTAGTGAGCTTCTTCACCTCATCATTGTTCAAGCCATACACTTTTTTTGTGAGCTCAGTGGAAAAACCTCCTATAAGTCCTTGAGTCCCAGCTAGAATAAAATAGGTGAATTGGCCAGGAATAAGAGCCTTTGAAGTTTCCCCAAGAAAAGCAATTATAAGATCTGAGTCTCCATTGTTGAACCACCATGAAATAGTTCCAAGAGGTACTGGTATAATATCTCCTTGCTTAAGCTTCAACACCACCTCTTTTCCAGAATTGGGGAGTATCATTCCAACTACACCATCAGTCCCTATATATTTGTGCCGCCACACAGTTGATGAAATTTGAAAGAAAAAAAAATCATTAATTACTATAATTTACATATTAAAATACTAATATTGAGGATATGGGTCTAACCTTGAATGACATAACCTACTTTGGAAGAATCTGCATAATGAGGGAAGGCAAAACCATAGGGGTGAAGCACAAGATGACCTGCACTCACATTAGTCTTGGCAAGAATCGGCATTTGAGAAGTTGACCAAGTGTAGTAACCTCCACCATCTCCCTCAAACATTGCTTCTGCTGTTTTCGGTGTCAAGTCCAACCCCATGATTTCCTTTACCTTTGCTCATTGAAATTAAGAATAAGAAATGCTAAATTAATTAAATAACCAAAACTCATATGCTCGATATTTGTTTTGTAAACGTAAGGAGAAATTAAATGAGAGGAGTCAAGAGGGCAACAAGCCAACATTAAACTACTAGGCTAATTATTATTTCTTTTGATATTGGTATCGATATCAAGTAAACCTTAAAAACAGAAATTTCAATTCGCACCATATATTAGAAAGAAAAAAAAAATGACGAAAACTTTACACAATCCTTGTTTGAATGATAATGGTAATGGATATAAAGATTAGAATATTGAAAAATGAAAAGCTACATACTCAGTAACTCACTCAGATGGAAGAGGTGAAATGCGTCAAAGAAGCGTCGTGCGTGGCACATGGCGGTAAGGAGTGAGGACTATTTATAGAGAATAAAGGGTGGGAACACGAACGCACTAATTACCAACTAACTCTCTCCAGCTCGTTCATTATCATGAAATAAAATCCTAAGTGAAATGATATAATGATGTTACATTATCATCAAAATACTAAAACACATTAAAAATTAACAAATAAATAATATCTTCACATAATAAATTTCGTAAACAAATTATAAGATATTTCATAATATATTCTAAACTTTCATAATTATCGCATATGATTATATCTTTAAATTGCATGATCTCCATATATGTATGGGACACAAATATTATTTTATTCTAATTTAATTTTTAACCAAAACTCTCCTTAACATGAATGTTAGGATATCTTTACATGTGTTCACTGTAAATATTGAAATAATGAAAACATTATCTCCATCATTAGAACACTTAAAAAATAGTATGGTAAGAACAATATGAATATTTGAAGAAGAAATATTTAAAATTATTTAAAATTGTAATTAATTTAAAATAAAATAAAAGTAAATGAAAAATGATATGTTTGATTTCTTTAAAAAAATAAATTAAAAGATTATAAGTTGATTACACGAGTACATTCAAAATTAAATATTAAATTATTATATATTAAAAATAAAAATTAGTATTGGATTATACAATTATATAACTGTCTTTATGATATAAATATGTATTTTTATTTCATTTCTATTTTTGGTCAATTGTTAGGCTGTTAATTAGTTTCTTTTAGTCTCATTATGATGTATTTTTGTACATTTTGCTTTCTTCTTTCTCTTCTCCAATTTTGATCTATTATCACTATGATAGCATCAATAATTAGTTAGTTAATAGTATTTTTTATAACATAATATTATATTTATAATGAGATTATTTATTTTAGAATATAATTTAATTTGAATTTTGTATTATTTTTAGTTTATAAATTAATTATATATAATATTAAAATTAATATATTGAACAGTTTGAATTTAAATTTTAAAAATAATTTGGCCAATAAAAATAGGTGGGAATTTGGCAAAGATGGACTTGTGGAACCGACCAATGTTAGTTATCAACGTATTTTGAGATTTGAGATAAGCTACGTGTGGCTCTAATTTCGTTTCCTCTTTTATTTCCTCAACATTGAGGTATAATAATTCAGGCGGATTCCAACCATCATTTAGGTGCTTTATTGGTGTACATTTAATCTCGTATTTTCCCAAAAATACTTCATGGGACAATATTGATAAAAATTTAAATAAATAATTTAAATTTAACAATTTTTATTTAATATTTAAATTAATTTATTAAATTAAATGTATATTTTAATCCATATTCAAAATAACACTGAGAGTCTCTCGTCCAGCTTTTGATCGAAAGTGGATTATAATTTTTATTTATTTCATCACATTTCATAATCATCTGTTAAAAATGCATATGAAAAAGAATGTTCAAGATTAGTTATTATTTTTTTTTTTTAAATCAATGTTATGGATTTGAAAATTAAGATTTTGGTAAAGATGATGATAGAGATGATGCTAGGGATGACAAATAAATTTATACTCATGAGTAATATCTGAACATGTTCCGACTTTGACGATGAATATCTGATTTGACCGAATACGGGTAAAATTCGATATATTAAATCAGATACGGGTACGGGTATATACTTATCCACCTCGTACCTATCTCAGTCCTCATCCCCGGTTCAATACTCGTCCTGAACTTAATTGTGTTACAAATTTTTAATATTTAATTATGTGTGATTGTTTATTATGATGTGAAAATTTTGTAATATAATGGATAAATAAGCTAAAAATATTGTGTATTTTTTTGCAAAAAAAAATTGACGGGTACAGGTATACTCGATATCTGACGGGGACGGGAATGAGATAAAAATTATATACTCGATGAGTATGGATACGAGAATGAGGATGATTTTAAGCTGCCGAGGACATATATCATGAAACCTGTATTTAACTCGCTCCATTGCCATCCATAGATGATGGACATGGAGAGATTATGCATACACAGGGAGATAGATGTCTGGTCTCCAAAGAGGAAGAAAAAAAGAGAAAATCGTTTGAGAGTAATAATGAAAATAAAGAGCCAAAAAAGGGTATAAAAGTCGCTATAATTTTTTTAAAAACTAAAGAAATGAAAATAAATGGGTTGAGATGGATTAGTCAAATGGATTGAACCAATCCATTTTGACAACTCTAATTTATTGTGTGGTTAACTACGATGTTTAAAAGAGTTGAATTAAATTAAATCATCTTTTAACTAATTTAAACTATAAAAATATCTATTTAAATTGACTTAAACTATAAAATAATTAAAAAGATAAACTAAATCATTTTATAATTAGTGTGTTATAGTTCTAAAAGTTTAAACTCCACTATAATTTAAATTGAACTAAACTTTTTTATTTAATTAAACTACATTATAATTTTTTTATTTTAAATTAACTTTTATTTTCAGTTTTATACTAATAAACTAAAATGTGTTTAACGTAGTTTAATTTGAAATAATTAAAAAAATTTAAGTGATAAATAAACCAAAATTGCTTAAAAAAAAACTAAGACAAAATAGTTAAAGCTTAAATAAGTAATAATTGTAAAACTACAACTCAATGTTCCATCTACTTTAAATATACTTTGTAGTGAATTAAACTATTTTTTGTATTCTAAATCAATTTTTTTCTTGTTATTTGAACTTAATGAAACTAACTTTTGCAGTAGTTTAATTTTTAAAATAAAACTTAAGTTCAATTTAGCTTTTTACAAAAAAAAATAGTTAATTATTTTTTATAGTCTAATTCAATTTAGTTTTCTAGTAGTTTAATTTGAAATAATTTTTGAATAGTCTATCAACCAATAAAGAATCTGTTTTAACTTAATCTATTCTCTAGAATTTGAGTTATATATAGATATGTAATTATGTTAAATATTTAGAAGAAAAAACACGTGACTCTCTAAACAAATATCATTTTTTCCTTTATATATTTTATTTTGTGTTTAATTTGAAAATGCATATTCTATTTTGCAAATGAAAAACTTGAGTTATAATCATGATCATGTTTTGGAAGATAATGAATAATGCATAAATGATTTGAAGGGAATGACATTTTATTAAGAAATCGTTATTGTTTATGTAAGTAAAACTATAAGAAATTGCGGAGGATCAAAATTATTTGAAAAACTTATTATGTTATCCTTGAATTTATAAATTATTTCTATGTTTAATGAAATTTTTGTTACTCTGTATTATTGAAAAAATAAAAATTTTGATTCCTTGAATTTATTATTATCCTTTCATATGATTTATAAATTTAGTTCAACAATTTAGTTTGGTTTAAGGAAGGACATGATTGATTTATTTTGGGTTAAGTTTTAGTTTGAAAAGTTTAAAGCTAACAAAATTTGACTGGTACATATTATTTATTAATAATATTTTGATTTTAATATTTTTAAATGCAATGTCATTTTAAAAATATCAGTTCGTTTTACCCAATAATTGTGCTTAGTTCAATTTGAAATCTAAAAAAAGAAAACCAAATTGGTCCAATTGTATGTTTTTTTGGACCTATTTCTCCATCGAACGCGATACATTTTATTCTCTGAGCATGTCCATGTTCTGAGTATAAAGTTTGGCTAGCAATCGCATCTTTACGCCATTCACAAATCAGAAACATAGAAAATATGTTTTTGAAGCTTATGCTCTCCGTTTTACACCCATAAATAGAGTTTTGTTTTCAATTAAATTAGCATTCTTGGTAACTAGAAAACCTAAACGAAGCCGCAAGCCCACAATAGCTGAAAATAAAAAAGAAACGGGTACATACTACAGAACTCACCTAACTGTTTTCCATTTTTCTTTGGCTTTCTTGTTCTTGATCTTTCTTTCAAGTACTCGGGTGAAATACTCCAGCTACGGTTTCTTGATTAGTCATCAATAGCAATTCATATTTCCTATGCAGGAATTGCAATGACCTTTTCTCCCCTGGGATTGGATTTGTTTAAGATGTCTCAGGCCTCTTTCACCAACCCGACAGAGGCTACCTTCTCAAATCTCCAAGAATCAACACACTGGTGTATCAAGAAGAGAGAAAGCCTTATAATCTTTCTTCTTGGCCTTCTTCTAACTTGCCTTCTGTGCTTCGATTGAATTATCCTCCTATTCTTGAATGCTATAATTCAACAATCCCAGCATCACCTGGCCAAATTCTTGCCATGAAAAACAGAAAAGTTTGCCAGAAAATAACCATTGGAGCCATCATGATTCCCGTTCTCATGTCTAGTAGTAGAAGCTCAATCAACACAGAATCACCTTTTCTTTTGGTACACAGGTCCCAAATAAAAAACCTCTAGATATAGGTAGCCAACTTACGAAAATAAATTAATTACACATGATTATGTAAAACATGCAAAAAGTAGTTAGATGTCATGTGCTCTAGAATCACCTAATAATTTCTCCACTTACACATACTGAATACAGAGTTTCAGTGAAATAATGAGAGAATGATCACACTTCATTCATCACATCAACCAGCTAACCACTATCAACAGTAGCTTAAAACACCCAAACCACTAACACACGCAGGAAAATTGAATAACTCTCAACACTGCCGCAGAGCTTAATTAGCAACGAATCACAAACCACTGCATCATGTTTCCCACTTAATTAGCAACATTCACCCTCAGTAACATGAAAACCTGAAGGAAGCCACAAGCCTGAAATCGAAACTCGAACAAAAAAGAAACTAGAAGCAAAGCATAGTTGTAGTGTAGACAAAACCAACTAAACTAGACACACTTACACGATTAAGAGTCCATTTGGATAGAAGTTGGAAGCAATTTTGTGGAAAACAAACTTATTATTTTTAACAGAGAAGCTCATAAAAAAGACCATAAAAATCATAATCTTAATCCTAATTTATTGCATCGCCCAGCAAATGCAGTTGGTTCATTCCTTCAGTCCATCCCATTGATCCTCTCAATAACAGAGATAATCCCTTGTGTGCCAAGCTTACCCTGCCCATTAGCCACCATGCTAGAAAACAACTGTTTCCAAAGAGAAGCCCCAGGCAAAACAACAACTTTCTCATCATCCATACCCATCCCCAAATCCTTAACCTGATACTCCGCAAAACCCCCAGGTCGAAAATCCTTCTCCATCATCCTCTCCGCAAACAACTCCAACGCCTTAGAACCCGCCGCACCCCTTCTAATACCCTCCACAAACCCCCTCACATCCAACCCCGCACGCTTCGCGAACACCAAACCCTCGCTAAGCCCAACAAGGTTCGCTCCAATCGTTATCTGGTTCGCGATCTTGCAGCTCTGCCCGCACCCCGCCGGGCCCACGTAGGTTGCTTTTCCCATCACGGAGAACACCGGGCCCAGCCATTCTACTATTGTTTTTTCGCCGCCGGCGAAGATCGCCAGTTTCCCGTCGCGCGCGCCGATGTCGCCGCCGGATACCGGTGCGTCGACGGACCAGGCGCCGCGGCCGCGTGCAGCGAGGGAGATTTGGCGGGCGAGGTCGGGGTGGGAGCTGGTGGTGTCGACCGCGACGGCGCTGGGGCGGAGGGAGGGGATAACGGGGGATGGGCCGTCGAGGAGGAGGGAGCGGACGTCGGAGGGGTGGCCCACCATGGTGAAGAGGACGTCCGAGAGTTGGGCCAGATGGGCCGGGGATTGGGCCTGGGAAGCGCCCTGGGCTTTTAGAGAGACCGCGTTGGGGTGGGATGGGTTGCGAGCGTAGAAGGTGAGGCTGTAACCGGCGGAGAGGAGGCGAGAGGCCATCGCGAAGCCCATTACGCCGATTCCGATCCACCCGATTCGGGTCTCGGACGGCGAGATCGGGTTGGGGTACGGTGTTCCCATGACACTGCCTTAGTGGGAAGCCCTAAGGTTATGAATTATAAATAAATCATCATGAAAAGGCGAGAACGAGGAAAAAGCACAGAAAGTTACATGATATGACGTAAATGGAAGAATCAGATGCAAAGGAATCATTACGAATTTACCATGCTGTAACTTGCAGTGGAATTAGAGTTTTTGTCGTTTGGTGTTATGGATATTTACGTGATATTCCAATTCCATTGGATCCCAAGACACACTCGAGATGGACACAGGTTCAGGTTCAGGTTGGTGTTGGTGTGTGTGTGTCCTGCCTTGGACACTAACGATGCTATTCCTCTGCGACTTTGAATCCCAATACAGATTATCGTTCATGTAATCCAATGATGGAGGACAAAGCAATGAAAGACATTCTCTGCCCCGTCGTTGCAGTAAACCCAATGAAGCCATGCGCCGTTGTTGCAATAAACCCATAATAGCCAATCTTTTTCGCTTCTGCACAAATTGCAAAACTCCCATGTCCAACTGTAAATTTCCTGCTGCAATTTCATGCCCTGTTGGGGATAAATTTCAATATTTGTTTCAACTGAGGAAGTCAAAATACTTTACAAGTTTACTCATTACATCAACTGTTACAAATAACATTCTCATATATATAGAGGGGTGAGTTTATCCTAAAATACACTCGCATGGTAGCTTTTTAATATATTCCAACTAAAAAGTAAGTACATGTAAGGTAGCAAATATTTATAGAATTTGTTGATATATATCCACTTTCTTTTTAACAGTATATTAACAAGTTATGAATATAATTTTCTTAAAACACAACTATGGTATAACCTGTTACCTTACTTCAACTAAACAAACGAGTGCCTAACAAAATATGGTATTCTGCATATAAGTGTCCGTGCTTCATATAAAATTAGTAATGGTGCACAAATGCTGCTAAATGAATTTGATACCTTGGATACCGGCGATGCTACTTATTCGTGTTGAATTCGAATCCGAAATCACATTATTTTGGCATGCTTGAGGATGAAGTAATGAAAATGACTCCCTGCCCTGTCCCACATGTGGTTCCAATGAAACCAAAGTGGTTTGCTGCTGTATAAATTGTTTATGACAATCTCCTATGTCCAACAATTTATGCTTCTCTTCCAAGCTTGGAATTGGATGGTTATTATAAGGATCGGTGAATTCAATATCGCCCGTGCTGCTTTCTGGTTTGATTATGTGGAATCCAGTTCGCTTGACAATCATCATCTTCTCAGGGGTTGGTTCAAAACCAATACCAATGGAAACAACCACATGATTCCATTCATTTTTCGAAAGTACTTCATCCAGATTATCTCCGAAGCTCGTGTATTTTGTACCAATGATAAATACGTGATCAGTTAAAGATGGGAAGTCGAAACAAATTCTTTTTTCAGTCAAGAATTGTATCTCCACCCCATTTATGGTCATGATGGGTCTAAACAAAATAGAGTCCTTACCCATTGGTCCAATAACAAAACAAAGAGCCATGGTAGGGAACTTGTCACGGAACCAGAAAGATATTGAGGGTCCTATGCTTTGGTGCTCGAACCAATCTGGAATCCTTGATCCAGGAAAACAAAACATGGTGTTTCCAGCCTCATGCAGTTCCTGATAATCATAAATAATGCATAAATTTAACAACATTAAGTTATAGGTACATTATCAATTATCAAACCAGAAGATACATTTAAAATGTAAAAACAACCTGATTCAACAACATGGCAGTACACCAGAAACTCAAGGACTTGCAATTTGCCCCTGAGAAATGTTCTAAATTTGGTGGAATCCCTCTAATTTCTCGAAGACGCTCACAATTATCCAAATTAAGTAATGTTAAAGAGCGACATTCTTTGATGCATTCAGGAAGAAATGTGAAGTTATTGCTGGATAGCTCTAACTCTTTCACATTACCAAACAATGCTAAAGCCATGGGAAAATATTCATCTGATAGATTGCAGCCTGTGAGACAGAGACATTTTACATTTGAATATATTGAGCTCACTTTTTCTTTATCTTCTTTTGGCAATATCCACCCTTTGCATTCCAAAGCGAAAATCTCAGCCAGTTCTGGCAACATGACAATGCTACTTGGTAACTGAACATTTCCACAGCCAACCAGCACTAAATCTCGAAGTCCAGTAAGATTTCTAAATGAAAATGGGAATTCCTTTATAGGAGTGTACTTCAACTCAAGCTGTGTTATGTTTTCCATCCTTCCCAATATCTCTGGAAAACTTTCAAGACTTGAGCAAGATGAAAGTTCAAGTTGTTCAAGAGAGGTCAACTTGATGGGCGGAAAACTTGTAAGCTTGCTGCAACCAAAAGCACTCAAGATTCTAAGCTTATCAAGAAATCCAACCGAATCATGAATTGAAACTAAATTCTCACAACATTCAAATGACAATTTTACTAAATTCCGGAGACCGGATATGTCAGGTATTTGTGTTAAACATTCGGTCTCGTCAAAATTTAAAACTATCAGATTCAAGAACTTCTGCAAAAGAAAAATGGGAAAACAAAGAAATTATAACCAAATGAATAACCTTTAAGTGAACTATTAGTATAAATGATCTTGGAAATAAACTCATTACACTTGCCTTCGATAAGCTAACTAACTCAAGTGATGTAAAGCAACTCTTGGGTAATTTGCATATGGCAAGTTTGTTTGGATAAAAATCAGTTGGCAAATCCTGTAATGGATATGCCCACCATTCCAATACTCTTAAACTGTTTGGAAGATGTTTGGGGCCTTTTGAAAAATGACAGTTTCTAATAATTAATGTTTTGAGGTTTTCCATCTTCTTGAAGGCCTCTCCATTCCATTCTATGAACATTTCATCTCCTTCAAATAAAGGGAAATCCAGGCATATGATTTCAACCACACTAGTCCCCTGTCAACACAAATAAACCATAAAAACAACAGTTATGATTGTGAGCATATAATAGTCGAAGAGATAAATCAAGGTTAAAAATGAAAGACTTACTATATTTTCTGCTAAAACTTGAATTATATCTTCATGGAACCACAACCTCTTGCGTTTCCCAAGCTCTTTCGGTGATTCTTTTCGATCAATTTCTTTACCCATAACCTCTATCAATTCATGAAGTGTCACACAGCCATTCTTAATTTTTATGAGGGATTTATCAACCAACACTCCAATGCCATATTTCATGCAAACACCATAATGAGCACAAAGTATTTCTTCAACCTCTGCCACTTCAGGTCCTTTCAAACAACAAGCAATGTCAAGAAAAATTTTCTTCTGATCTTCCTCTAAAGCATTGTAGCTTACTTTGAGTATATCTTGGATACTCTTGTGAGGAATTTTTTTATACTGATCTAATGCAGATTCCCATTCTTTTACGCTTTTCCCAAACAAGAGGGAACCTACTACTTCCAAAGCCAGTGGAAGGCCAGAAGCATAAGCTACTGCTTGGTTAGAAATGTCCTTGTATCTTGGATCAACTTTGTCATCTTTAAAAGCGTTCCAACTAAGCAATTCAAGTGCTTCTTCCTCATCTAGACCGCGCACCTCATATATTCTATCAACCCCATAACTTGCTAACAAATGTTTGTCCCGAGTAGTTATGATGACTCTACTGCCAGAACCAAACCAATTAGGCCCTCCAACAGTTGCTCGCAATTGTTCTAGCTTGTCGACATCATCAAGAATTATAAAAACCTTCTTTCGCTGGAGCCTATGCTTTATTATTGAAATTCCTCTACTAACACTTCCTATCTTAATATCCTTGTCTCCAACTACTTCAGACAGAAGCATCTCTTGGAGATGTACTAATCCGTGTTTAATTGTGTTTTCTCTCACATTGTCAAGAAAACATAAACCTTCAAATTGGTCCGCAATTGAATTATAAATTGCTCGAGCAAGTGTTGTTTTGCCCATTCCCCCTATTCCATAAATCCCTACAGCATGGACTCCAATATCAGATCCAAATTCCAAAAGCGACTTCACTTTTTGCACTCGAGAATCCAGTCCAACGGGGTAATCCGCCACATGTAATGGCGTGCGGTTAATCTTGTCAGAGACCTCTTTAACTATCTTCCCAATAAACTCATGTTCATATTCATTCCTGCCCAATAGAAAAGTTCTGTCAAGTCACACTAAAAACATAGTATGCATGTACTGTTAATTCAGGCTTAATCCATCCTGTAATCCTATACTTATGTTGTTAGCAACATGTCTTTGATCTTAACGATTTAGAGACATGTGTGAGTGAACTCCCCGTGCACAACATGTGTCAACCTTTTGTTTTAGTTTTCATAATTAAAAATTTTGTTTACTTTCCTACACGTTTTAATTCTTGTATCTTTATTTTGTTATACACAACTAAAAAAAAACTAATAACAAATACTTCTTTCAGTCTATACCACATGTATCATCTACCGAAAACAATTATGTTCAAATTGGATAAAATCATTTAAGAGACAACAAAGTTCTTCCTTAGAATATTTAACATAACTGCATATTCAAACTCAAATTCGGGACTATTAGTTAAACTGAAACAACTTCACACTAATTGATTCACATGTCGGTGGTAATAAGAATAGACAATATAAAACCTAAAAATTTTAGTTATAGGGATTAGAGATTAAAAAAAAAGTTTACACATACATACCAAAAGATGAACTAAACCTAATTAGTAAATACATCAGTAGAATTAAGATTGCTAGACATAGAATGAACTAAAGATAGAAAATTCAAAGACAGAAAACGCAAAACAAGGGTACCCAAGTTTGTAATGGTTGCCGGACAAACTAGCTGCTTGGTTAAGAGCCATCTTCCATTTGTGCAACCTGTCCACGTTATCCTTCCGGTTCTCCTTGTCACGTGTGAACCTTTCCTGGTGCATGGCGAGTGCCTCCCCATAAGTCCCGGTCTGATGGCGCACGTGAGAAGGATCAACGTCATAAAAAATGGGCAGAATGAAGCGACCCTTGGCCTTAACAGAGTCAATGATTGTGACAAGTTCGTCCAAGCAGTGGGAGGAAGACGCATAGTTTTGGGAGAGGACAAGGATGGCCATCCTGGAGTGTTGAATAGCATTGATGAGCGATGGTTTGATTTCGTGCCCTCGTTGAAGGTCCTCTTCGTCGATGAAGGTGTGGATTCCTCTGTCACGAAGAGCTTTGTAGAGGTTGCCGGTGAAAGCGTAGCGTGTATCGGAGCCTCTGAAGCTGAGGAACACGTCGTAGGTGAAGGATGACATGAGAAGAATTATGAAACATGGAACGAAGAACCATATGATGGAAACTGAGAGCATAACACACAACACAACCAAAATGGTAAGAACTAAGGACCAACGAGGACACTGTCGCCAAGTCAACTCCGTGGACCAGACACTTCCGTCAACTACATTTGCCTTATCATATACAATAATTTATTTTTTTAAAAAATTTATAAACACAAAATTATAATAATTAAGAAAAACAAATATGATTTTCTAATTAACTCTTTATACAATAATAAAGAAGAACAAATATGATGAGAGAAAAACAAAAGAATATACAAAGAATGTGATTGAAAAAACGTTAATTTGTTGGTATATATCAAAGTTTAATTAAGCAGTCAAGTTGTTATGCAAAGCTTCTAAAAAAAAGTTGTTATGTAGATCAGTCCATAAGCTTATCACATATTAGTAAATGTTAGTAATAAATAATCTTCAATTATAAAACCAATTATAATTTTTCCCTTAAAAAATCAATTATAATTTAATCGATATGAAAAAAATATTACTAAGGACATTTGGTTGCAAACGAAATCATTTATAAACCTTAAAATAACAATGATATATTAAAAAGAAGAAAAAAACTATTAAAATGAAAACATATTTGATTCAAATACACAATGTTAAACACTTGTTTTTGTCGATGTTTCCTATAACAAAATCAAGATTTAAAAAAGCGATTTACACGATCAAAGTTTTAAAACTTGTCTAGTAGTAATAAGGGATTTGCACGATCAAGGTTTTAAAATCTGTTCGTGAAAGCGATCCACTCGACAAAGTATTTAAAACTTGTCCACATACATGATGATGACAAGAAGAATAGTGCCTCTGACTGCTATGACCCCTCAAAATTATAATTGAATAAGAGATATTTTGTGCACTTCTCATAAAGGATTCATGATTCAGATGGGGTGGTTGTAATCTAGAAAAAGAAGCTAAGTTGAAGCCAAAGTCTTTTAGTTGTGAAAAATGTAGATGGCAACAATATTGACTGCATAATCTTGGTGTCTCTTTGATAGTAGCGGAGCAAATAAGTTAAAATAAATTGCTTGTAATAGAAAAAAAAAAAAAAAAAAAAAAAAAAAAAAGGGTCATGCATGTATACTCTAAAGTGAGGACATATATAACTAACAATTTTCTACTATGTCAAGCAATTCATCTGATTCATTTGCTTCTTCTACCATCAAAGAGATACTATATATTTTTAGGTTACCCTCCAAGATTACTCAATCATCATCGTAGTTATCCACATCTTTCAGGCCAAAGTTGAGGACTTTGACTTCAACTTGGGCTTCTTGTCTTGGATTACAACAATCTTGTCTAAATCATTGGATCTTTTATAAGAAGTGTACAAAATATCTCTTATTTCTTCATCTTCATCGGAGATTATATCCATCAAAGCAGAATCTGGTTTGTAGGAATCAACAAGGTGTATTTTGTATTTTAGTGTGAAGTGTTTGTTCTAATACGAACACCTTGTTTGAAGAGGGGAGCATATAGGACACCATAACATAACATGTCTGATGACTGATGAGAAAACATTTTCTGTATTTTAAGGGATTATTTAGCTGCCCAAATAAAAAATCATATACATGGCAGGACAGGCAGGTTGTATGGTTTGTAGTTATTTGGAAAAACAATTTTTTATTTTTATTTTTTTGCATTAAAGAAACAAGAATTGTCTGAGATGGTGGAAGGGGTGAAATTATTATCATGGAGTTGGATCACAAATAGAAGCGAATTTTCATATCCAATCTCATGTTGGGTTTTATATATGACCTAGTATCATGCCTTAAAGCAATAAGTTCATGAAATGCATCAAAAGATATTCACGATTATGTTGCGATCGAGGAGGTTTTCATATCAAGTGTTGTTTTTTCTTTCGGGGTTACATGACAAAGGCACACTATTGTTTATTTAGACTTTGGGGTTTAGGATTTAGGATTTAATCCTAACATCACCTATTTACCTAAAAGCTATCTTTTGACCCTTAAAATTCATCCCCTTTTCAAATTACTAATGTTATAAACACTAATCTAATCTAATAATCTTTGGTTTTGTCTATTTGATTCATTCGGATGATCAAATTTAAAATATATGAACAATATTAAACCAAGTATTTCCCATTAATGGAAAACGTGTTTGATATGACAATAGAAGTGATATTTTGTTACACAGGTAAATTTTATTTTAAGAAAATTAAATAAAGTTTTTAACCTCGTTAAAGTTGGACCACTACTGTACGCTAATGGCCACAAGTTTGATCCATAAACCAGAAACCATGACGCGACCTGCTTCAATCTGTAGCAGCCCCAAGGAATTCCTTTTATTGAAAAATAAATTATCAGTTCATTCTCTAATAATAATTTTAGACTAAATTCTATATTTATCTTTTTATAATATCTTATTCGTGGTTATGATCCCCATTTTTTAATATCATAATTTTAATTTCTTAATCTTATAAAATTTATAAAATGTTGATCATGTTTACATTAAGTAAATAACATAATGATTAATATTTAACTTAAATTATATATTTAATTTTTATTTTATCTTTTACTACCTTTTTTTATGAAATATAAAAACAGAATTAAAAACGTAATTTAACGTAGGTATTATTAAATATTATTTATTTAGTATAAGTTATGGTAAATGTTATAATTATAATCAATAGAACTAACAGTAATTAAGACTAAATTTTAAATTTTATAAAATTAAAAAAGTAAAATTACAGACTACAATTTAGCCTAATTTTTAAGACAATTCTAACATTTTTTATTAGAATATTTTACATATTAATTTCTTAACAAGTATTCTATTAAATCGGATCCAAGAAATAAATGACAATATTTTTTAGTCTTAATTGTAAAAACATAAACTTTATAATATGAATTAATTGTTATTTAATTTTCATATATACTCCTAATTTCTTGTAAGATCTATTAAAAAGACATGTACTCATTTTCCAAGCGAGTGATGTATTTATTAGTTTATTAACGATATAAGTTACAAACATAGAAGTTTTTATTGAAATATATGTAATGTCATTTCATATAATATTTTTTTAAAATTATTTGATTTTATGGATATTTTAGAAAGAAAATTTAAATTATAGTATTGTTGAAATTAATTAGCTTATGAATTTTTAAATGAGTGACATGCACAAACGCATTTTCTTTTGGTACGAAATAACTAAAATAATAAACTAATCAAAGATATTTTTTTTTTATAACTTTGTGATTTTAATTAGCGAATTATTAAAAAATGTTAGTATTATATATGCATCCGATCAAAGTTGGCTACATAGGAGACTTTAAAAATAAGTCTTAATTAGTATATCTATATTATTCAATGACTCATCTGTTACATTAAATTTAAATGATTCAATTAAGAGATTTTAGTGTATAAATTAAGTATATAAATTTTAAAAAATAAAAATTATATAATATTTTATTATATAAATTTAAATTAATGTATAAAATATTTTTATAATTATTCGTTAATTTGAATTAATAAAATAATCTATCAAATGATTTTTAAAATTTATATATATATATATATATATATTAAAAAATAATTGAATAGTTAGATTGTTAAAATATAAG